GATTTTGGCCTAAACCTTATTTTTTATATCCATTCATGGTGGAGGGATACATGCAGGGTGTTACGAGGCAAAGTAGTCCCCAAAGAAAACTTATTTTTAAAGATTTATTAATATTTTACCATCATCAACATTCCATTTAAACTCAGAAGACTCCTGTAGGTTCACTGGTGGTTCTGGATAGTAAATAAAATGTCTATATTTGTGTTGTAGTCATGGCGACCCCTGGTTCCTATCACCACCACTGTAAAGACATCAAAACCATTTCATACCAAGCCACTCTGAATGACTCTGTTTACACCTCTCACACTGAACTATGATCAAATTCTGAAAAATGAGTGGAGCTGTCCTTTAACTGGAGTGCTGCACTGAAAATAGCTAACTGTAAAGCTTCTTTTTAAAGGAGAAATATCAGATCAGTTTCTATGCTGGATGTCGTCAGAACTTACAGAACACTGAATAAATGTTTCATTACAAAGAGAACATAATTAGTCCTGGATTTAGTGCAGCGCAGAGGGTTAAATGTTAGATAAGAGTCTCTATACTCAGCTCAAAAAATGGAAAAAAAAATAATAAAATAAAAAATTACAAATGAGCAATATGGAAAAAATTAATATCATTATACTTGATTCAGGACTTTATTGATACTTGAACAGGACGTTTTTACAGCACGTGATGCACCATCATTTATTTTTCTGACATCTGATAAGTTAGAACCGACAAATTAGTGCCAGATTTTAAACATACTATCAAAACTATGAATCAAATTACAACCCCAATTACAAAAGAGTTGGGACGCTGTGTAAAATGTACATAAATGTAAATTAATGTACATAAACGAGTATCCAGTATTGACCGTCAGCCTTTTCCCTTGTGTACAGGGATTTCTCCAGATTCTCTGAATCTTTCGATGATATTATGTACTGTAGATGGTGGGATATCCAAAGTCTTCGCAACTTTATGTTGAGGAACATTTCTCCACAGTTTTTAGACGCAGTTTTTCGCGGATTGGTGAACCTCTGCCTCTCTAAAATGCTCTTTTTATACTCAGTCAGGTGAGTTAGTTGCAAATTGCTCCTACAGCTGTTTTTCTTATTAGTACCACTTACTTTTCCAGCCTTTTGTTGCCCCAACTTTTCTGAGATGTGTTGCTGCCATCAAGTTCTAAACGAGTTTAATGTTTTTCATGAAATGGTACAATGTCTCACTTTCAACATCTGATGCGTGTTCTATGTTCTATTGTGAATAATATACGGTTCTATGAGATTTGCAAATCATTGCATTCTGTGTTTATTTACATTTATTTACATTTTACACAGCGTCCCAACTCTTTTGGACTAAATCCAATTAATCAGGATCAATTATGCCGTTTTTAATCAAACATGCAGCTGGGAAGTGATTTTTAATGATTTTTGTGTGCTCAAAAATCATGTTGTGACATATTGTGATGTCATTTGTCACGATAACAATAAATATTCACAAATAATCACTGCACTCAGTTTTTTAAACAGTATTTTAAAAGAGCCCATAACCTTCGTTTTTCTCATCTTACTGTGTTACCGTTTCACTGACTACCATTTACGACGTTTGTGCAGACTTTAATTTTGACGTGTCCATTTTCCAACGTCTCTTAACCCCCAGAATAAAAGCCTCTGTTCTGATTGTCAAAATGGTTCTATGTAGAACCATATACAACAAATACCCCCCAATCTGAAGAGGTCAGAAAAGGAGGAAGAAACAACAACAACAACAACAACAACAACAACAACAACAACAACACTGACTCCATGATAAATACAACACCAGCAACAGCAGCACATTCAAACCTGCAGCTACACTCTTCTATACAGAACCACGAGGTCTACACAGAACCATTTCCGTGCTTATCTGGTACTCTGCATGGTGAAATGGTTCTTCAGGTTGATAGAGAACTCTACATAGCACCAAAAAGGGTTCTGCTATTGTTACAAGCTTGACACTGTTACAATAGCACAACTCTTTTCGGTGCTATACAGAACCATTCGCCATCAATCAGAACGTACAGAACCATTTATGCATGAAATGGTTCGACAGAACTCGTGGTTCTAAATAGAACCATCTTTTTTTAAATGGTGTAGAATCAAAACAACTCAACATAACCACAGCAGAACCCTTTTTTGGCCCTACACAGAACCATTTTCAAAAAGGTTCTATGAAGAACCATATACAACACATTCTCCATCAATCTGAAGAACCTTTTTACCATGCACAGAAACCATTTAAGTGTGCTAGGCGTTCTGCATAGAACTCATGGTTCTGAATAGAACCATCACCTTTGCTTAGAACCATCTTTTTTTTTTTTTTAATAGTGCAGAATCAAAACAACTCAACATAACCACAGCAGAACCCTTTTTGGTCCTACTCAGAACCATTTTCAAAAAGGTTCTATGTACAAAAACCTCTGTTCTGATTGGCTGCCCTGTGTTGTGTCCTGTTATAAGCAGTGTGTTTCAGCCTGGCCTGCTTTTTCTGAACTTCTGCGCGAGTGGGCGGAGCCAAACCTCCGTAGGTGGACTCATGTAAATGTGTTGGTTTTTGTGACATCACAAAAATGAAAGTAATTTCTGTTTGAGCTTGTAACATCAAGGCGATCTGACTCAGGAGTGGAAAATATTACACACAGCTGTGCACTTTTTTCTCCACAACCATCCGAGCGCACCACAAAAATGTTGTGCAATGTCAAAAAGTAGGGTCCCCCCTCCCCTCCCTTCCCCACCCCTCCTCTCCTCCCCCTCGCCACCCCGAATTCACACCGCGGTCTGACTATTTGTCACATCTGTGAGAATAACCCTAACGTGAGTCTGCTCAACTCAACCTGCATATAAACACAGGCAGGACCCTCGCCGGACTCAGAGCACGTCGCCTCGAGGGTCATTTCACAGCCGTATTTACAGACCCTGATACTCGTTTTTCTGTTCTCGGCTCTGGGAGCCACTCTGAGGGCGAAAGGCTGAAGAACGGAGAACCCAAACAGCGCAGAGAGGCTTTTCCGCATAACTTTAATGCGTGTTTATCCAGGGGAAAACCTCCCTTTACCTGCAGGAACATGCAAGAAAATACCAAACCAGCAGTGGCTTTAGGTCTCCACCACCACAAGCCACAGGATGCAGGAAGCAGCAATTACGAAATTTGTCATGTTGCAGGCCGACGATATGACTATATTTGGTGTGAGCAGAGAATGAAGTCACAGGTTGACGGAGTTGCAGCCATTCAAATATGGCAAAGAGTGGCAGGAGGGCAGATTAGCAAGAGGAGAACCGGACTGAGGGTCTGTGGGCAGTTAGGAGGTGACAAGGAGGTCAGAAAAGAAAGAAACAAACAACAACAACAACAACAACAACAACATTACCTGATAAATACAACAGCAGCACATTCACACCTGCAGCTACACTCTTCTATACAGAACCACGAGGTCTACACAGAACCATCTGCGTGCTTATCTGGTACTCTGCATGGTGAAATGGTTCTTCAGATTGATAGAGAACTCTACATAGCACCAAAAAGGGTTCTGCTATTGTTACAAGCTTGACATTGTTACAATAGCACAACTCTTTTTGGTGCTATACAGAAACATTCGCCATGAATCAGAACGTACAGAACCATTTATGCATGAAATGGTTCGGCAGAGCTCATGGTTCTAATTAGAACCGTTACCTTTGTTTGGAACCATCTATTTTAAGAGTGTTGTATCAAAACAACTTGACATCTACCAAAATGTAGAACCTCATAAAACGCATTCTCCATCAACCTGAAGAACATTTTCACCATGCGAAGAACCATTTAAGTGTGCTGGGCGTTCTGCATAGAACCATTACCTTTGCTTAGAGCCATCTTTTTTTTAATTATGCAGAATCAAAACAACTCAACATACCAACAGCAGAACGCTTTTTGGTCCTACACAGAACCATTCTCAAAAAGGTTCTATGTAGAACCATATACAACAAATACTCCATCAATCTGAAGAACTCTTTTCAACATGCAAAGTACCATTTAAGTAAGGGTTCTGCACAGAACTCATGGCTCTACATAGAACCATTACCTTTGCTTAGAACCATCTTTTTTTTTAATAGTGCAGAATCAAAACAAATCCACATACCAACAGCAGAACCCTTTTTGGTCCTACACAGACTCAAGAACCCTCAAAGAACCGTCTTTTCTAAGAGTATAGTATCAAAACAACTAAACATCATACCAACAGAACCATGTTCAAAAGGTTCTATGTAGAACCATATGCAAAACAGCCTTTTCACCATGCAAAGAACCATTTAAGTGTGCTAGGCGCTCTGCAATGAACTCATGGTTCTAAATAGAACCATTACCTTTGCTTAGAACCATCTGTTTTTTAATAGTGCAGAATCAAAACAACATAACAGCAGAACCTTTTTTGGTCCTACACAGAACCATTTTCCAAAAGGTTCTATGTAGAACCCTATACAACACATACTCCATCAATCTGAAGAACTTTTACACCACGCAAAGAACCATTTAAGTAACTTGTGCTAAGGGTTCTGCACAGAACTCATAGCTCTACATAGAACCATTACCTTTGCTTAGAACCATCTTTTTTTTTAAATAGTGCAGAATCAAAACAAATCCACATACCAACAGCAGAACCCTTTTTGGTCCTACACAGACTCAAGAACCCTCAAAGAACCGTCTTTTCTAAGAGTATAGTATCAAAACAACTAAACATCAAACCAATAGAACCATTTTCAAAAGGTTCTATGTAGAACCATATGCAAAACAGCCTTGTTTTACCATGCACAGAACCATTTAAGCATGCTACGGGGTCATGGCTCCACACAGAACCGTTCCTCTCCCTAAGAACCATCTTTTTGAGAGCGCAGTATCGAAACAAACCCGACGCAGCTGCCGTGCATTCCTGCAGGTCGCAGCCTCGCTGAGCGCCGCTGCGTCCAGTCGATCAAACATTCACGAGCGCGCGCGCGCGGACACTCACTCACCAGCAAACTCTCCAAGTTGATGGCGGACCTGGGGTCCCTGATCAGGGCCTCCAGCTTCCTCAGCCTGTTCTCCATCCTCCTCTCCGCCCCAGGAGACATCGCAGCCCGCGCCTAAGTCCCTCTCAGCCTTGGCATTGAATAATGTATATGAAGGTGTTCGCTTACTCCGGGCTGCCGGGGCCTAGAGCACCTAGAGCAGCCTCCTCCTCCGCCTCCGCCTCCGCCTCCCGCCCCAAACTCTCTGGCACGATCCAGGATCGAGGAACCGAAAAACAATAGAGCAGAAAGAGCTTCTCGGCCGCACAAATCAACAAATAAGAGCCCAGAAACTTCTGTGAAAGTTGCAGGACTAAGACGGGTCAACTTCTGACCCCATGTTTGGCTTCAGGCTTCAAAAGTTTTGTGTTATTTTTTTATTTGGAGGATGGATCCAGCACCTCCACCACCCGCAGCAGCAACAGCAGGGCGTTTTCTCCTCTCCTCTCCTCTCCCCTCCTCTCTTCTCTCTTCTCTTTCTCAGGCTCTCTCTCCCCTCCAAACGTCCTGCTGTTTTTTTCCCCCCTACTTTGGTTTATTTTTCTCGTCTCTCCCCCAAAACGCCTCCTCTTCTTCGCACTGTTCTCTTCTTCTTTTTCTCCTCTTCCTCCTTCCTTCCTTCTCTCGCCATAAACTACTCAGAGGCCCATCGAGACAGTGTCCGTGTGGATTAATGAATTCAACGCATTTCTCAGTTTTCGGAGGGGCTGGTCTGCTTCCCTCCGCCTCTTTCTCCACAACTATTCCTCGCTCTTCCAACAGCGACAGCTTTTTTTTTTCTTTTCCCACCCGTTTTCCGACACGTCCCGCCTTCTCGGCGCTGCGATTGGCTGGTGTGGCGCACTCGCAGCAGCGCGCTGATTGGACGGCTGTCGCGTCACCGTAGCAACCGTGTAAAAACAGTGACGAGGCTGAAGTCAGCTTCTTGTTTTTTCCGTTCCACCTTAAATACTACAGCGGTTACAGCACCATTTAAGGTGGAACGGGGAAATTCGAACCAGAAGCTGGCGAATACGAAGCTGACTTCAGCTTCGTGACCAAGTTGTGGACGAATATTCGACCAAAAACTGCAAACTTTATTCCATTGGTATATTTTTTACAAAATGTTTCATTTTTAATTATTTTATTTTTAGGTTTAAACTAACAGATCAGGATAGACAGTGTGAGGCAGAGTAAAGGAGATGGAGAAATGTGAACCATAAAAGCCACAGCTAACACTTTCCCAGCTCCAACTGTAGACTGTGATATAACTGGCTTGGGCTGCGTTCCAATATGCGAACATACGTACTTCTACCATAGGTTTCTCATCTAGTGCATAGAATAAATGTCCTAACATACGACTCCTGTGTGGCGATTACAGCTCATATTAGTTAGCCAACTTGTTAGCCGTATCTATCGTGATTAGTTTTGCTAGAAATTGCGTTCAGACTGCAGAGGCTTCAACCATACTGAGTACTTGCGAACTTGTAGACTTGCACTAGCGTTCTTACTAGTGTGCACTATTTAGGGTACCAGTATGAATAACACTCACTCTTGGTGAGTGTTCACCTCACACATACAATAAATATAATGAATAAAAAAATTAGCTAAAGAGATTAAGGGTGTAAGAAAATATCGATACACTTGAGTATCGCAATATTATGTTTTGTGATACTATATCGATTCTCAGAAACACAGTATCAATTTTTAATTTAAGGTTTACATTAAAAAATTCGTGGCAGGCCGCGGTTTATTTGTGTTGTGTTTAAACCCCCAACCATTTGGTGGCAGTGTTGTGATCCATCTTCAGCCATTAGACTTTTTCTTTTGCTCAGATTTTGTGTATATGGTGTTGTGTTTTTTATTCTGAGTTTTCCTAAAATTAGATTTTAAAAATCTGCAGATGGTTGTATATAGAACCTTTGAAAAACTTTATATATAGCATCAAAAAAGTGTTCTTCTATTGTTATGATGTCAAGCTTGTCATAGTAGAACCATATAAAACAAATCCAATCAATCTAATCCAAAAAACCATAGAACCCTTTCATGAAGCGAAGAACCCTTTAATCGTGCAAAGGGTTCTTTGAGTGTTTATGGTTCTATATAGAACCTTTTTTCTTTTTTTTTTTTACTAAAGAACCAGGTACTATTAGGATGGTGGATCATTCTCAGCACTGCAGTAACTCTGACGTGGTGGTGGTGTGTTAGTGTGTGTTGTGCTGGTCTGAGTGGATCAGACACAGCAGTGCTGCTGGAGTTTTTAAACACTGTGTCCACTCACTGTCCACTCTATTAGACACTCCTACCTTGTCAGTCCACCTTGTACATGTAAAGTCAGAGACGATAGCTCATCTGCTGCTGCACAGTTTGTGTTGGTCCTTCATCAGTGGTCACAGGACGCTGCCCACAGGACGCTGTTGGCTGGATATTTTTGGTGGTGGACTATTCTCAGTCCAGCAGTGACACTGAGGTGTTTAAAAACTCCAGCAGCACTGCTGTGTCTGATCCACTCAGACCAGCGCAACACACACTAACACACCACCACGTCAGTGTTACTGCAGTGCTGAGAATGACCCACCACCCAAATAGTACCTGCTCTGTGAGGGTCCATGGGGGTCCTGACCACTGAAGAACAGGGTAAAAGGGGGCTAACAAAGTATGCAGAGAAACAGATGGACTACAGTCTGTAACTGTAGAACTACAAAGTGCACCTATATAGTAAGTGGAGCTGATAAAATGGACAATGAGCATAGAAACAAGGAGGTGGTCATAAAGTTATGCCTGATCGGTGTATCATATAATAACTATTATATACAGACCTTTACAGAATGATATAAATCATGTACCGTTTAAGGTGGAACGGGAAAATTCGAACAAGGAGCTGGTGATTAGAAAGCTAACTTCAGCTTCGTGAGACAGTTAACATTTGTCTTATTTTGCCTATGTATATTACTGTGAACTAATGATTAAAGAGCTTAAAGACATTTGTTAAGCTTAAAACAGTGAAATTTGGAAAGTAGTAACTGTTTCACTTATCATATCTGTATTATTCATACTGGTACCCTAGGAAGTGCAGACCAGTAAGAACGCTAGTGCAAGTCTACAAGTCCGCAAGTACTCAGTATGGTTGAAGCCTCTGCAGTCTGAACGCAATTTCTAGCAAAACTAATCACGATAGATACGGCTAACAAGTTGGCTAACTAATATGAGCAGTAATCGCCACACAGGAGTCGTATGTTTGGACATTTTTTCTATGCACTTGATGAGAAATCTATGGTAGAAGTACGTATGTTCGCATATTGGAACGCAGCCCAAGCCAGTTCTATCACAGTCTACAGTTGGAGCTGGGAAAGTGTTAGCTGTGGCTTTTATGGTTCACATTTCTCTATCTCCTTTACTCTGCCTCACACTGTCTAGCCTGATCTGTTAGTTTAAACCTAAAAATAAAATAATTTACCAAAAAATATACAATTTGAACAAACTTTGCAGCTTCTGATTGAACATTAATCCTCGGATTGGTCACGAAGCTGAAGTCAGCTCCTCATTCGCCAGCTTCTTGTTCCAATTTCTCCGTTCCACCTTAAATGGTGGAGGCGCCAGGCTGTGACTGCTGCACCATTTAAGGTGGAACGGGGAAATTCGAACAAGGAGCGGGCGAATAGGAAGCCGACTTAAGTCTCGTAATTTGGTCCGCGACCTTTTTTTTTAGCTGCCTCACTGTCCAATCAGCGGGCGTCTGAGTTTGAAATGCCAGCCAATCAGAGCGCAAGAGGCGGGAGCTGCCGGAATACGGGTGGTAAAAAAAAATAGAGCTCGTCCCTCTGACGTAACCCCGAGACGACAGCATTCTTTACCCATGAGCCTCTGTTCCTCCCGGCTCGCGCCCACGAACGGAGGCGCGCGGGAGGCAGCGGCTGTAACCAAGCAACGAACTTAGACTTTAAAAATAACAACAATAGTAATGTAAACAAGTGTGGCGCTTGTTTGGCTGTTTTTCGGCCCAGATGTTCTGCCAAAGAACTCATTTCATAACTTTAGAACCTTTTATGTATTTTCGTAGATTAAAACGAACGTGTTGAAGGAGAACTCCACCCATTTTTCAAAAAAATTCTGTCTAAATAAAGGTTTAAGATGTAAACAGAGTCGTTCAGAGTGGTTTGGTGTGAAACGCTCTGTTCTAGATAAATGTACTGAGTCAGAACTGTTCACAGTGGTGGTGACAGGAACCAGACGTCCACCTCTAAAAGCTCCCTCACAGAAAGTTACTACATGAAATGGTTATGAATTCCCTGCCTGATGACTGAGACACTGTTTTATGATAAAGTGATCTGAACTGGTTTAAAATGTATTTTAATCCATTTGTTTTAATCTATTTATGGCGGAGGGATACATGCAGGACGTTGTAACACAAAATAGTCCCCAAAGAAAACTTATTTTTTCAGATTTTCCACTATTTTCCATCATCAACATTCAATATAAACACTCAGAAGACTCGTGTAGGTTCACTGGTGGTTCTGGATAGTAAATAAAATGTCTATAGTTGTGTTGTAGTCATGGCGACCCCTGGTTCCTATCACCACCACTGTAAAGACAACTGAACTATTTCACACCAAACCACTCTGAATGACTCTGTTTACACCTCAGTGACTGAATTATACTGACATTTTGGAAAATTGGTGGAATTCCCCTTTCAATGAATATGAAAGCTTTACTGGTGGCTGTAAACAAATAAACAAGCCATTACAATCAAAGTCTAGAAAGAGTTTTTTCCATAAATACTAAAAACCTGATTACAGAAGGCTTAATATGAAGTTTATTCAAGCAGTAACTGATATAATTCAATTCATATTTGCTCTGCAGGCCCGACCGGAGACTCCACACCGCTACAGATGGCATTTAATTAAATGTTGTTTCATTTATTTTCTTCTGTATTGCTGAGATAACTGCAAGCAGCTTCGCGTATAATTCTACTCTCATGATTGAATCACTTGAGACGACTCATCTGCTCCTTTGCCAACAAAAACACCTTCACATTTGCTTATACAGAAATCTGATACATGGCAATGTATGAGTTTCAAATACATGACGTATATATTAATGAATTTCCCTTATATCTAACTTATATTAGTCACATATGGGCATATATGTGACACACATGCCAACTTATTTGAAATTGGCCATTTTCAAATATGATACATATATTTTAGGTAGGGCAGCACGGTGGTGCTGTTGCCTCACAGGGAGAATGGCCTGGGTTCGATTCCTGGCCGGGCGACCAGGGTCGTTTCTGTGTGGAGTTTGCATGTTCTCCCCGTGTCTGCGTGGGTTTCCTCCGGGTACTCCGGTTTCCTCCCACAGTCCAAAAACATGCAGTCAGGCTGATTGGACACGCTAAATTGCCCCTAGGTGTGTGTGTGAATGTCTGTCTGTCTGCCCTGCGATGGACTGGCGACCCTGTCCAGGGTGTATCCTGCCTTCCGCCCAATGACAGCTGGGATAGGCTCCAGCACCCCACCGTGACCCAGAAGGATAAGTGGTTTAGATGATGTATGTATATATGTATGTATTTTAGGTATATATAAACACATAACACACATATTTAAAAATCTGTACAAAAGAAAACATTTTTCCTATATGGATGAAATATTACTTATTTATGTTAGCTGCAAGTTCTGTCTAATAAAGCAGACAGTGAGTGGACACAGAATGTGTTGTATATGGTTCCAAAAAAAAAAGCACCAAAAAAGGGTTCTTCTATGGTTACGATGTCAAGCTTGTCAAGATTGTTTTTC